TCTCTCTCTCTCTCTCTCTCTCTCTCTCTCTCTCTCTCTCTCTCTCTCTCTGTCTCTCTCTCTCTCTCTCTCTTTCTTTTTCTTTTTTCTCTCTCTCTTTGTTTCTCTTTGTCTCTTTGTTTCTCTCTCTCTCCGGGAAGAGGACGGCAAGCAGGCAGCTCATGAACAACAATCTCCTAGCCACAGTATCTCTCCCCTCCGATCGAATTCGTCAGCTATGTTGCAGCGTTTGACCCTCGCCGTCCGATCGTTCCCACAATCGTCTCTCTCCATCCGCGATCGGATAGGATTGCTGGCCTCGGCCGACCAACAGAAGTCAATGAAGGCCAGCAGGAGTCGTGGTATGACCCCTTCAGCCAGGTGCACTTCCCGCTTGCAATCAACCCACTGCACTCCGGCCTCGTCGTCGTCGAGGTTTGGCTGCAGGTCCGTGTTTTTTTTTCCTGAGTTGCTTTAGTTAGCAATCCCCTAACGCTCGAACTCTGTCTAGTACCTACTTTTCTTCTTGACCTTCCACTCGGGGAGGGAAAAAAAAAAAAAAAAAAAAAAAAACTTTCGCTATCTACCTACTACAACTCCTAAGCCTATGGGCCTCGTTCGACACCACTAGAAAACCCTTACATGTAAGGATTTCATCTTTCCACCTTTCCCTAATGACGAAAAAAAAGATGTAAAATTTGTTTTCACATTCGCGGGTGTAAGGGCGAGCCCTACAAAAATAAGGACTCCCCAACCAAAACGGACGCAAACGCAAGAACGACCATGGAGGTGACTTGAAAGTAGGGGTGGCGCCCTTACTTTCCACGGGAAAACTGCCGACATTTTTGTTTTCTTTTTTCCTCAGGTGTTTCCTTCGCGTTCCTGGTCTAAACGCTGGGTTGTCCGGTACACCATGGGACGGCGGTTCCACGGTAGTCTCCAACGGGCAGCGCCGTGGCCCGGCTGTGGCCATGCGGTACCTCCGGCTAGCCGTTTCGGCTTGGGTGTGGAGACGACCGTTGCGGGGGTCCCCGCGGAGGCGAGCGCGCGAGTGCCGTTGGCGGCGTGTCTTTCGAATGCGAAGTGGGTGGTATGCGCTGCCCGTCACCTGCCAGGCCTTTTCCGCGAGCCACTATATTGCACTCCTCTGCTTCCGCGCTTTGTCGTCATCGAAAGGTAGCAGATCTGTGTGTCGTGTTTAGCTGCAGGCGCGCATGGTTGACAAGACGAGGAAGTTAGCTCTGTTTATTATCCTGTTTGGGGCGGTGGTGCTGCTCATAGCTCTGCACGCGTGCCGCCTGGCCGGTGCTCGCATCCGGCGTGGAAGGAGGAAGGGGTTGAAGACGCTTCGACAGGGCGCATCGGGGAGCAAAGGGATGGGGGACGAATACAGTCGGGGTTGTGAGGGTTCTGGGATGGGGAGGGGGGTGTACGGAGGAGGGAGTGGAATGCAACACAATCTCTATCACAGGTTTGATCCAAATTTGTATTCGCATCTCCCTCCTCACCAGCAGCCTTTGCCTGATGACACGACCTAGACGCCCCCTCCGTCGACATTGGGTCTGGCATGGGGGTCGACACAGACGTCTTACGACACCACCGCGAGTTGAAAGCACCGGAGGGGGTGTGGGTCCGATGTCCGCTTTGCTGGGCGAAACGCGGGGCAGAGACCGTCATCCATTCGATTTGCAACTGTCACCGACGACCACCATGGACGTGTCTAGAACGATCCTCGTCTAGCGGAGTGGACAGGGTGGCGGTGCGAGCACGCAGACAATGCATGCTTGTGTCCTTGACGACGGGGTGTCAATGCATCGGCCGAACCACATGTCAAGGCCTACGCCTAGCCAGGCCGCACCAGTGGGCAGCGTGCCGTATCACCAACCAGCGGCAGGTGCGGCCATGCAGGAACAGAGGGCTGATGTGGGCGGTGTTGCGGAATCCCCTCGATGTGTGGAGCGTATCGTCTACCGGTTCAACAGCTTGCGGGCGACCAGCGAAGGTGACGGAACAGGCGCGACCATGCAGGAACGGAGGCCTGATCTGGGCGGGGTTGCGGAATCACCTCGATGCGTGGAGCGTATTGTCTGCCGCTACAATAGCTCGAGGCCGACCAGCGACGGTGATGTGGGCGGCCGTGACGGTGGTGCCAGCGAGGCAGACCGCGTCGACGTAGAAGACGATGACGGTGACGAGGAAGACGAAGACGAAGCTCCGGTCAAGGAAGCAGTCTCTAGCGGGACGAAAAAGCAAGCTTCCAAAGTCCGTGGGAAAGCGAAGGGTAAGGATAAGGAAGGTAATACGAACGGCGAGGGTAGTGGGAGTAGAGTGCGGGGGAACTGGAGTTTGAACGAGTCCCTCGTTCTTGTCCGGTGCAAGAGAGACCAAAACGACTACTTCGCTAATGTGGGAACCAATTTCGCCAGAATGAAAACGAAAGACCAGAAGTGGATGGACATCGCTAAGCGGATGGAGAAGGAAAGAGTTCGGCGAGACGGGGAGCAAAGCATGAAGAGATGGGAGAACATATTCGGGTGGTACAGGAAAGTGTGGGACAGGGAGAAGGATTCGGGACTGCAATCGTACTTCCTCATGACCACCAAAGCACGGAAGGAGAAAGGGTACAGGTTCAATCTAGACCACACTCTATACGATGCGATCCACATCATGCAGGGGAACAACCAGGCCGTCCACCCGCCTAATCTCGTGGACACAAGCAACACACAAGGACAACAGTCACAACAAGGTGAGCAAGGCCAAGCGGCAGCGGGTGGTGGGGAAGCAGACACTTCGGCGAGCGAGAACTGGGGAGCGGATACGGGGGATGGGTGTGGCAGCACGTCATTTTCAAACGGCATTCAAGGCAAGCGGAAGAATGTCAGGCAACTGGCTTTCGAGGCGGTGACGGATGTGATGAAAACGCACTCGACCGTTGTCGCGGAGTCCCTAGACCGCGCGAGCAAGCGGCAGTGCGACGTGCTCCAACGACAGTGCGACATAATGGAGAGGGAGGCGAGAACGCAGGAGAGGCAATGCGAAGTTCTGGACGTCGGGCACCGGATGCTGTGCGATGCTCTGCTTAAGATCGCATCGGCATTGGCCAGGGATTGATTGCGAGGTTGTGACAGGACAGCAAACCCCAACACCCAGGCGGGTGCGCTTGCACGGGCGGTGCGCGGGGTGTCATTTCAAGGCTAGATTTCGAACTTCCATTCTTTTTTTTATTTTTTATTTTTTTGCTGCCTTTTTCATGACGTTGTCGTTCTCGATTCGCAACGATGTCAACCACTGGCTTTTGAACCCGTCCGTCAGCTTGTGTTGGGTCATTTCACATGATTGTTTGTTGAACGTTTTCTGTTGGTATATTTCAAAGATTTTTTTTTTTTTTAATGACTTCTTTTTTTTTTTTTTTTTTTCCCTCTCATCGACCGTTCGTTTGCAGTCGGTGCGGGTGGTCGCAACCCGAGGTCTTAGTGTTGGATGAAGTCCAAGAGGGGTAGGGATAAGCATCCCATCCATGGTGTTCGCTTCGTATGTCGCATCACTGATGGGGTGGGTCGTTTGGAGGGAGGGGCGGAGGGGTCGGTATGGGGGAGGGGTTGGTATGGGGGAGGGAGGGGTTGATAGGATCTGGCCCCTGCGCCAACATGACGCGGTTCATCTCGACGATCAACTCAGGGCGCACGACGATGCCAGCGAAACTTAATAAAGGTCATGGCATCGTGTTTCCAACGCCAACGTGAGAGATCAGTCGTGGGAGCTCACATGCCGAAAGTGCGTGGATGGTGGACGTTGGGAGTGTACAAAAACTTGTAGTTTGTCTCCCTGTGAGGCTCATATGTGCGCCGAGGCTGGTGATGGGGAAGCGGTCCTCCGACACGAGGATGGTGAATTGCGTACTCGTGTTCAAAGCGGAACATAGTGGCAATAGTGATATCGTACGTGGCGGTCATCGAGGGTTTGTCGTTACGGAAGTCGAGATCGGACATCGCAGCTGCGTGGGGGTGCGGCGCTGCGCATCAATGGACATCCAGGTGGCGCTCATAGGTCGTGTCCTCGATCGTGCTATAACTTTTTACGAGATGAGGCATTGTCGAGGAGAGAAGGACGGCAGGTTGTTTGATTTTGTGGGCGAGGTCAGTTGACACGAAGTGAGGCATTACGAGGTGGATGCGAACGGTGACACGATTCTCAATGTCATCGTCGCGTTGGGATATGCGGATGACATGCTGCACGAGGTGGTTGGCTATGCAACGAAAGTCGGCCGCGCGATCCCCAACCGCTGGGAAGGAGGAGTAGACATTCTCGCTGACATCGTCGACCTCTTGATGTCGAACATCGCGAACGAGCACGACGACTGCATGACTGTTCCTGCGGATTTCCGGGTGCACCCGGATCCTCCCATGCACGACCGCCCGGGTCTCCGTGGCGAGATCAACAACATCGATGAGTAGGTGTGGATGGAAGCGATGGCGGCAAACCGTTCGCCGCTCGCACTTGAAAGAGAGAGAGAGGAGAGAGAGAGAGACGCGGAGACAAATACATATATATATATATATATATATGAGTCGGTGAAACTCCGACGAAACAGTTTGTCACAGCCCCTCGTTTGTTGTCCTCTTCTC